TCTGCAATATGATCTCAAGTGCCTCTTCTGTTTTGGAAGCCAGCTTGAACATCTGGCATTTCCCAATATAGGGTATTCTTTGTTACAACACCTTGAATATCACACTGCTTGCCTGAAAAAACAATGCAATGGTCATATGGTTGCTGCTCTCTTTTTGCATCTCCTTTCTTATGGATTGGAATGTGTACTGAAGTTTTCCTGTCTGTGGGACTTTTTTCTGTTCCATATTTATTGGCATATTAATGTTAGGATTTTGGCTGATTCAGTCTCTGCTGCTTGGGATTGTTCTGTTGGTATCCTGTCTACTCTGGGTGCACTATTCCTTCTGAATTTTTCAGAGCAGCTTTCACTTTGCTTTGTAATATTGCAGGCATTTCCTCATAGAATCCCTTTTTGAAGGAATCTGTCACTCTTTCATATCTTTTGCATATTCTTTCAACCTTCTCCTCATTTTTTTCCTGGTCAAATACTTAATCTCTCTGTATGTCTTTTCTCATTCCTAAGCTAGGTTTGAATTTCCCTTTGATTTCTTGGAAGTTTTCCTCTTTTATTGTTTTTTTTTTTTAATCTCTATGTGACAGTCATATGGTCAGTTACTTAAAGTAGTGGTTTTAAACCTTTCCACAACTGGGGACCAAGCGAAACCAGGAAAACCACCTCAGGGACTGCTGAGGCAGAAACAAAAAGTTCCATACACATAATACAATATTCTGTGTATTAGTTTCCAGACAATACCAACCAAGTAAGAGGTGGTAGAGCACAGCCAGCCCCCATGCCGGTCTATGGTGAGTGGGATGCAGCCACCCCACAGATTAGCAGGAAATCTCTGGTGGACCAGCACCAGTCCATGGATAAGTGGTTCAAAAGCACTGGATTAAAGCATGTATTTACCATAAATAGATTGTTGGCTTCACAGAATTCTTGTGAGCTGTTCTACTTTGTTTCTGAATTTTGTTAGCTCTTTTATATTATGCAAGTTTGTCCAAAATCCAAGTGTTCAAATACAATTATATCAATTAGATTAGAGGATATTTTAGGGATTCTCAAAAAGATAAAATCATTTGTTTGACTACAATACATTTTTAGTCCTGTGCTCTTTTATCAATATTTGCCATTGATTTGGAGAAGGTTTAGCACCATCTACAGCCAGCTCTTCTATCTTTGTTCTCACTGGGATGTTTACCTGGCACTTGATCCCCAGCTCCTCTGAAAGGATGAGTTACCATCAGCTGAAATAGCAAAGCCCATGTGTTCCATATATGAACTTCTTGCAGCCTGAGTATAATTATTCTCAGTTAATTTACTCAAGGTTTTGTAAGAGAAATCATGTAATCCCAAGAACTGTTTGACTTTCATAAGGGAGTTTTCCTAGATCCCTGAGGGAGTGCAACACCTCCCCCTTTTTCTTGAATCAGGCAAAGCAAGTTATATCTCTTGGAGGAGTGCTTCACTTAGGTTTGTTTGCTGTATGCACTTTCTCAAGTTCATCAATTTATAATTCCAACATTGGGATTAATCTCTTAAACAAGTAGCATTAAGATCGGATACACTGTCCCATTCAGCACACTCTTTGTTCACTCATCTCATTCTGTTTTTGGCTTCTGCTAGCATTGCTTTAATTTCTCATTTCTCCCTTTGTTGCTTTTTTTAGTTTTTATACTGTAAAAGACTTAAATCCATAGTGTCTGAAGCAGTTTCTGCTGCGCCTTCTAATTTAGAATCACTGCATCAATCTTGTTCTCTAAAGTAAACATCAACTCCTTCCATTATCTATCAGGACAGTTGTAAGTTGATTTGTGAATTGTCAATTTAAGTTTCAACAGTAATTTCCAACTCACCAGCATCCATGATGAATTCTTCATCACCTTTCCCTCCTCTTAATGCCCCTAGCTTAAAATAGGCAGTTGCAGGTTTAGCTTAAGGAAGGTGGGTGGTTATAGCCTCCAATAAAAATCAAATAAAAACAAATAAAAGTCCTAGGGCAGAAGTCTTGCCTTAAATCAAATAGTCTCTCACCAAAGCTCACTTTACCTTGCAGCCATCTTCTCAGTTCCTAGGCCACGGCCTAGAAAGTGCTTTAGGAGAAAGAGTGGCTTAGTGGGATGGGGGCTCAGGCAATTTGGGATCTAGTCCTCACTCAGTCATGGAGCCAACTGGCCAGTCACAGACTCGCAGCCCAACCTGTCTCACAGGATTGTTGTTGTGGGGAGAAGGCTGAGAGCAGGAGGAGAAGAGTGATGTAAGCTGCTTTGTGATCTTTAAAAAAAAGCAGGATATAAATCAAATAAGGAATGTAAGACAGCTAAATGTAAGTTATATTGTACAACTTGGTTTAATCATGAAATAATAATAGTTCAGAAAGCAAACTCAACAAATTTGTATTCATTGTCTGAATAAACTATATATTTAAAATTTATTTTATATCAGTTTGTTCATTAAAATGATCAAACTGAGTTCTATGTACCATATTTTAGGATCCTAATGTATGATAAGGTGGAACTGCAGCAAGTATTCCCTGAATCTTCTGAATCATCCTGAAAACAAGGATGAACAGGAACACTGGGTGCAGTGGAAGATTGCTATGCAGCATCTTTTCCTGCATTTAAGGGATTAAGTGAAATTCCTAAACCTGTTCCTGTTTGTGGGCTGGGATTTGGGGAAATGTAACCTAAAGGAAAATCTGTTGACGTGGGAAGGCTCACTTAGGAATGCTGTTGATAAATTAAAATTATAATTTAGGAAACTTTTTACAATCTCTATTTGAAGAATGACATCTTATAAATTAAAACAAATATTCACTCTTGTAAATAAACTTCAATCCCATACCCCTGTCATGGGAGCCAGACATTGGAGCAAGAACTAGACTATTTTTAGTAAAGTTTATTCTAGTGGCAAAAGTTAAAAAGTAGTGTTTCCTAGTAGTGAGGTCTGATTCAAAATGTTTTTAAAAATGGTGGTAGGGAATTCTGTGGACCCAAGCCTTACAGTTAATGAAAAAATTAAGCATAGCTAAGATATTTCAATGTATTTTATCATGTTGTAAGCCGCCCCGAGGTTTCGGCAAGGGGCGGCATAGAAATGTTATAATAATAATAACAACAACAACAACAACAACAACAACACTCATGCTCTTCCATCGCATCTCTTGACAATGGCAGGATAACCTACAGTGTTTTTTTCACTTCCAGATTTTAGTTCATAACTACATTAATTAAGTGCTACAGCATTTAATCATAACAAGCCCCCAAAAGGCAATACTCTATAAAATAACACCCAGATTATGAAGAATGCACATGTTCTGTATATGTTTATTGTATTCGCATGTTGGGCAACTGAGTATGGCTTGGAGTATCCCAAAACATCTATATGTAAAAGATACACAGGGTCAATAATTTTAATAGAGAATAGAAAAATAATTATTTTGGAAATCTTACAGATTCTCAAAAAAATTCTCCTATGGCTTCATTATTTCCAGATATTTTATAATTCTAGCATGTCTGTTGTGCTCTAAAGAAAGACTAAAGATTGTTATCATTCTGTTAAGTCTTTAAGATAACATTTGTGGTGTTACCAAGTCCAAAAACAGTCTTATGTAGCCTCAGGGTTCTATCCAAAACTGCCTCTGGGCTTTGGTAGTTTCTCTTGAGCTAGCAGGACCCACTTTTTGCAACAGAAACATTGCTTCTGAGAGTAATCCAACAAATAAATAGAAACTTTCATTTCTGGATCCTTTTTGCAAGTGCAGTTTACTTGCTTCCATGCAGAAACAGGCATTTCATTCATTCCTGAGTGCTACTTGATTTACTAGCCTCATGTTGCTCTAGCAGTTGGTCCCACTAGCATGCAGACAGCATTGGATACTGATGTCAGAACCTTTGATAATCTGCATAAATTAAGAGCTCAATTCTTAAAATCCCTTTGGAACTGCAGATTTTAGTTGCCACAAGTCTACACCATGCAGTGAGCTTTGTTGCTTGAGGGAGACTTCAAGGGAAACAATCCCAGGTGTCTCAACTGTCCTCTTTCTGTTCAGTTTTATTTCCATATGGCGTTCTTTTTCTCAACTTTAACGCATCATGCATTTGCTGTAGGGATAAATTTTGATTAGCTGTACAGTGATGTTTCTATAATTTATTTATGCCATAAATATTTTTGATAAATGGAAAATATTTCTCATTGTAGGAATTCAGGTTTGTCCTTTTTTGAATCAATTTTATTTTCTCTATTCAAAGAGACACAATATGGATTCAAATTAATAATCAACTTTCTATTTGTTAGAGTTCTCTTGTAGGGAACTTGAGAGGTACTTGTGAAATGTAAATTAGCTACCAATAATCAAGTAAATCCTATATCTTGATGGTTGTTCAAGTCTTGTAAAGTTAGACATACAATTCTATTAAGCAAACTTCTGGGGCTTGACTGTTATCTGATTAAGGATCAGGATATTATGAGTTTCTGGAAACCATTGTATACTAGACTCTCAAGCATGATCTTCCTAACATGATGATTAATTGATGCAAGAAGAAGGACGTTCCTGGTATTTGCCCTGGGAACTACCTTTTGTGTAATTTCTGCTGAATCTTTAGGTACAATTTGTGGATTTATAGGTTAGGGCTGAATTTTGGAACAGTCCAGTACATCTTGTAACAAATCAGGCTAACACTTTGGAATAAGTAATGCACATGTTTTCTTTGTTCTTTCTTACTATATATGAAAGGCTGCTAGCTCATTTCTTTTAAACCAGTTTTTATTTCCTCCACTTCTCTGAAAATATCACTAGACATCCTATCAAGATGCGCTATATTTCTGATTATCCTTCCTTTCTGTTTTAAAAAGGACTCTGGTGGCAGGCTTCCAAAGGGTTTGGATAAAATTGCCTTACTGGCTTTGGAGTTATCTTTGGTAGCCCATCATGTTCTGATGTTGAACCTGAAGAAAGAAAGAGAATTTCCCTGGATTTGCACTCATTTTATGACTGTTTTATATATGCATGTACACAGATTTTCCTGAAGTGTTGCCATGTATGAAGCGAAAGAAAGACAGAAGTTTATTAATAATGCTCAGTACCTGAGAGAAATGCAACACAAGATGGATTCAGATTATCAGGTAGGAAGATTAATTCACTGTGTTGATTTTCCCAAGAAGAACATGAACACAAAGTGGTGAGGGTGGGATCTGAGGTCAGCTTCTTGTTTGTTTGTTTGTTTGTTATAGGCTTTAATATCCCATCCTTCACTGAAAGTCTCAGGACGACAATACAGTAAAGGCACAGCATCGAACTTTTTTGGGCATCTTTGTTTGAATTCAATCCTCCATAACACCTTAATTCAGATGGATGCATGCTTTGTTTCTTAGGCTTGCCTGAGAAAGCAAGAGCAGACTAAAGAGCAGTCTGAGAAAAAGCACTCCAGGCAAGATTTGAGGAAGACAAGTGTATCATCTATCTCTGCTGTGCATACTTATGAAAGACCATGGATTTCACAACTTCCTATTAATAGACAGGTACCTATTTGTTAACTTCAGAGCTTCGATTCAAGTAGAATAGGGGAGTATCCTGATAATGACCAGATTGAGCTCCTATATTCAAATCTCTTTGTTTAAAAACCCTGTATGTATTATCCTTTCCCCTTGGATTCAAATGCCAAATTGAAAATCTTGGAGTAATTTTGTTAATTTTTGGAGCCAGGGTTATTCATATAAAATTGCCTTCTATTCCTCTAGGCAGATAATTGGAAGCCTATTTTCCAACATCAGACTGACTCTGCATCAGTAATTTACCATTCTGACATACAATGAACTGAAAATCATTGCTATGCCAAATTCTTCTCTAGTTATATAGAACGAAGTAGATTTTGAAACTCCTTAAATCATACACAGAAGATGGTTTTGGACTCTTTCAGCACAGGTCAAATCAGCAAAGTCTCAGATTTCCACACCAAAAATTAACTGTGAAATCACCTTTGCCTTGGATATGTTTAGAAATGGGTGTAATGTACCAGGAAAAGTGAAATTCAGCAATTTTTTTATAGATTCTATACAAGCAGTTGCTTTTAATTAACTTTTCTGTTTTGGTAGTGTCCAAGATGCTGTGGCTGTGAATGTTATGCCAAGGTAGCACTAAGAGTTTACTTCAGCTCTTTTGCATTTATAAACTGTTTATGTATTTGTTTCTTTTTGCCAAAAACCATGACTTTGGATTTAGTGTGATTAAGGACCAAATTATTTTCTGTACAATATAAACTAAACCATCTTACCAATTTTCTTAAACCAACTTGAGTTATTTACAGTAAAATCATATCAACAGTATATTTACAGATCTGTTTAAAATGTTGGGCATATGTTAGCTCTGGATATACAGAAATTCAACTATATCATTTATATAAAAATATAAATGATAGAAAGGGGGATAATATGCATTCCCAAACTATGAACCCTGTCCCTAAGGGGGAGTGCAACTCCATCTAGGACAGGGAAATGCCCCTCCATCCTGTTGGGCAGACCCCATACTAAAAGCACCTCCATTTTTTCTGGATTGAGTTTCAGTTTATTGACTCTCATCCAGTCCATAATTGAGTCTAGGCATCAATCTAAGACAAAAACAGCCTCACCTGTATCAGACGAAAATGAGAGGTAGAGCTAGGTATTGTCAGCATATTGCTGACACCTCAGCCCAAACCTCCTGATGGTCTCTCCTGGTGGTTTCATGTATATGTTAAAAAGCATGGGGGGCAGCACAGATCCCTGCAGAACCTCATGGTGCAAAGGGCATGGGGGCAGAGCTGCTGTCCCCCAGCACCACCCTCTGGACATGGTTAGCCAAGTAAGAATGGAACCACTACAAAACAGTGCTTCTTACTCCCATTCCAGCCAACTTGTCCAGAAGGACACCATGGTTGATAGTGTCAAAAACCACTGAAAGGAAGCAGAATCAACAGGGTTGCACTCCCCCTTTCTGTCTTCCTGCAAAGGTCATCTAAGAGGGTGACTAAGACCATCTCTATCCCAAACCCAGGCCTGAAACCCGATTGAAATGCATCTATAAAATCCATTTCATCCAAGAGCACCTGAAGCTGCCCAGCCACCACCTGCTGTAACACCTTGCCCAAAATGAATTAAGAACAGAAGTCTCTGATCAATGTTTGAATTCAACATTTTTTCTCAGAAACATCTATTTATGGAGACAAAAGCTGTACTAAAGTCTATAAAAACTACAAAAAGCTGTCCATTTTTGTTTGTATTTAGTTATAAGATGGTGTAGGATGAAGCAATAGTCTTATGGTAGTTCTCCCTTTCCTAAATCTTGTCTGTACTTCAGCTACCAAGATGTGTTCATCTGCCTAGCCTTCCACTTTTTGCAAGAGATACTTAGCATATACTTTGGCTCACTATCAATCAGACTGATTGGACTATAGTTCTTAGAGTCCTTTCTGTTTCCTTTCTAAAATATCGGAACTATTGTACTGAGATTCCAGTCTTTTAAAAATATTTTATTAAACTAACAAAAACAATACAGTTAGTGTAATAACAATGAACACAATTAAACAGTACAATTGTGCCAGTGCTACTTTCACCAGGACCAACAAGTCAAGTCAATTAATGTAAGATCATTTATTCATTCAGGTATTCCCTTCCTGAACTGCATTAACTCTTGTGATTCACAACCCTTGCTTTTTATAAAAACATTCAATTAAAGGTCTCCAAATATTTTCAAAATTATTTTTACTTAGCAAACCTTTTTCCATTTAATAGCACAAGTTAACTTATCATTAATAGCTATATTCCAGATTTCTTTATATCCATCAACTATTTCATATTCACCTTTTATTTTCCAATTCTTAATCTTACTGCTGTTAAAAGTTTATCATCAGTTCTTTAGCATTGTGCCCATCTGTTCTTTAAATAATGACAATAATGCTAGTCTAGGGTCAGCTTCAATATTCAACATTTTACTAATTTCTTTGCAAATCATTTCCCAAAAGTCATTTATTTATTTACACTTCCACCACTATGAATATGTACCCACTTCCTGGTTTCATCTCCAGCAATCCTTGGAGTATTAATTATTCATATAATTCAATTTAACTAGAGTTAAGTACCATTTCCAAGCCAGTTAAAAATTCTCTTAATTTCTTATTGACATAAATTTTAAAATTCTCTCTATCGCATATATTATTTTATTCTTTAATATAACTGTTTCTTTTAAAATGTATTTTCCAAGACTCTTTAAGAGGATCGTTTCAATCCTCCCCTTCTAGTAATATATTGTAAATGTTACTTATCATTCCTCTCATTCACATATTATCTTTTTTCTTTCTGTAAAATTATATCTTCAAATTTAGTATATTCTCTGCATTTACCATTTTTCATCAACCAATCTTCAGTCCAATAATCTAACTGAACTATATTATACCAATTTAATACTTTACCCTGTCCCAGTATTGCTTGTATCATTTCTTTACTCTTCATTTTCTCTAACCAGTCTTTCAACCTAGTAACATGTTTACTCTTCAGTACTTCCCTCCAATGGCTTCTCAGATTCTCTAGGAATCTTTCTAATTCTGTAATTGGATATAATAGCAAAATTGATGGGACAAATATATCCCTATATTTATTCTGCATTCTGACCATATTCTTTAAAAAAGTGTTTTCTATCTTTTTGATTATGTTTTTATTAGCTTGTTGGAGAAAAATATTTAATAAGGAACCCTCTACATCTTACACCCTAAACCCCCTTATTAATTCTTGTTTTTTATCACCAATACAAAATGTATTAATCATGTTTTGCAATTCTTTCAGATCTTTCTCTGATAACAGCAACAAGCAAGAAATTAATCTTAGGTAAAATCTTCATTTCAAATGTCACTATTCTACCAAACCATAATAAACCAATCTTTCTAAATTCATTCATTTTCTCTTTCATTTCATATTTTAACTTATCAAAATTATTCTCTTTTAAAATTGCATTTTTTGTAATATTTACACCTTGATATTTAATAATTTTACATATCTTAACTTCTAACTTGCTCTTAATCTGATCCATAACTTTAACTGGATCCTTTATTGTTAATAATGTATCATCTGCAAATAAACTAATCTTAATTTTATTCTCAAATCCTATAACTTTTATTTAGTTATCATTCCTAATATTATTTGCTAGCAGTTCTATAATTAAAGCAAACAATACCAGAGAGAGAGGGCAACCCTGTCTAGTACCTCAGCCTAGGGATCTGTGATGTGTTATACCATCATTTACTATCACTGTTGCAGAGTTTCTTGAGTATAATTGATTTATTATATTTCTAAATCTTGGATCAAATCCCATTAATTCTATTAATATCTTTATTGTTGGTCATTCCACACAGTCAAAAGCCTTGAAAATATCTAATGCTACTACACAAGCTTTTACATTTTTGCTGTATTCGATTATATTTAATACTCTTCTAGTAAATCTGCCATCTGCCTGCTTATTGTAAAACTGCTTTGATCCACATTACCAATGAAACTACTCATCTTCTTTGCAAATATTGCTGTAAAATTTTCACATCTTGGTTAATCAAGGATATAGGTCTGTAGGTTCCAGGATCAGTCAAATCTTTGTTGGGTTTTGGAATTAAAACTATTGAAGAGTATTTCCAAGATACTGGCATCTCACCTCTTTCCAATATATTATTGAATAAAGATTTTTATTTTGGAATCAACCTCATCTTAAAAGTTTTATAATACTCTGGACCTAAATAATCTATTCTAGGAGTTTTCTCTACTTTTAACTTGTCAATGATATCTTCTATCTCCTCTTCTCTAACTAATTGTTCTATCAGCTCCCTATCCATTTGCTGTAGTTTTTTCCCAACATTCTTCTCTATGTATGATCTAATTTTATCCAATGACAACTTACCGCTTGGATCTTCCATTCCTTAAATCACTGAAAACTGTAAAGAACACCACTTCCTAAGCAGAAATCTAAACAAAAGGAAAGATTGGCTTTCCTGAGGTAGGCTTTCCTTGTTGGGACCACATAGTTTATACTCTTTGTATAAAGAGTTATGAAGAGGATGAATATAATACATGATCTCCTGAATCTCTTGCAGAAACATATATTTCTTATTTTTTTTATTCAGGAGAACTAGGATTTTAATTGAAATCTATTCACCCAGGAAACAGAGGTGAAAGAGGAGGGGCTGTAGCAATACCTGATGCATCTACTGCTGTTCTTAAATGCATGTACTCTTTTGTGTGTGAACTGTTTCACAGCAGCCAAAAAGTTCTGGGCAGTTTGTTTCACATGGGCCTTATGAATAAAGGGAAAATTTCAAAATAGACCTACAGAGTTCAGCTTCCTGTACAAGAGAACAGGGAACATCTGCCATGTTTTTGTAATGATCTGATTTCATACAGTTTGAAGATGTATAATAATACATATGCACAAGGAGAGCCAGTATGGTGTGTTGATTAGAGTGTTGGACTGGGAGACTCAAGAGACCTTGATTTTAGTCCCCGCTCAGACATGAAGCTCACTCTTGGGCCAACCTACTTCACAGGGTTGTGGTTGTGAGGATAAAATGTAAGCCTCCTTGGATTCCACTCGGTAATCCTTGCTACTGCTGGCCAAATGTTCACTGCAGACTTCCTCTGTAACTCCCAACAGGGGGCGGGCCTAGTATTTACCTGGTCACTACACTTTCTCTACTACAAGAGCATCTAGATGGCATTACTCTTTTGATACCTTACTCACAAGCACCTGTTGAGCATCTTAGCTGCTGACCATTGCTCATTGCTGTCCTTTTTTCTTGGCACTCCATTGGCAGCCCTTCAACAGGTGTTGGGACAAGGACATTTCCCATTCCTAATGCTGCCACTGCTACCGTGAAGAGGGCCAGCTTGGTAGTGCTAGTCCCCTTGAGTCCCCCAGAGCAATTTACTCAGCACCTACCATAACCTCATTTTTGGCACCAGGCAAAGATCTTCATGTTTTCCCAAACTTTGCCATTTTTAATTGACTTGCATGCATGCATGTTTTAACTTTTTCTTGCTGCTTTTACACTGCTCTTTGATATTACACTGTTTTAATATTTTGGTTTTCGTGTTTAAGCTACCCTTAGAACTGGTTCAAGAGAGGTATATAAATCCCCCAGAATACTAAATAAACCTACACAGACAAGTGAAGCCTACAACCAAGACTAGCAGCAGTGATCAATTTGGTTCCAGCTTTTCCTCTGCAGGTTTCCCAACTTTCTTGTTCTAGCTGAGCTCCTATATCCTTGAGAGACATTTATGTAACAGATGATGCCATGCCCAGCTGTGCAGCTATTGCAAATTAAGGAACAGGAGCCCTGTGGGGGCAAGAAGGATAGCACCTCTATTCATCTGTCTTGCTTCACCAACACATTCATTCTCTGAAGCATTCATTTTATCACAGTTGTTTTTTCTTGATTAGTGAGGGCTGATCAATAGAGATCTCTATTAACACCTCCAGAAAGCAGTGATTGGAAATGCTGAATAACTACCACATGACTCTCTATATAATACACTCCACTCTGAAAAGCTTCTCCTGGCTACAGAAATTGTTATAAACACCTGCTGGAAAGGGTAAACGGTACATGTCCAGACAAAGGGCTTTAAAATAAGAAATAAAAATAATAAATAATATTAAAATAATAAAAATAATAAATAAATGGCTTAAAAATAGAGGCCTATATTGAGTTAGGCTGACATTGCAATACAGAGTAATGTTAAAGTTCTCAACAAGTCACATGTATCAAGTTCCCTTGGCATTTCACTGATGTATTCCAAATCCTGCTCTTCATGTTCACATTCAGAGTTTGAGCTCTCTAGAAATGCTGTATTTTGAGAGAACTGAGCCCATTCCCTAAAGAAACATCAGAGTGATAGTGGTGCCAAGCAGTTAAAGTTAAAATGAAAGATCGGAATGTAAGTCAAAGTTGGTCCAGCTCTGCTACATGGATGCCATGAAGCTGTTTTTTTTAGTCTAACAGCTGATTTGCATGTAATTACAAACCTCTGCTGAAGCTTAGCTCACCACTATGTGGAAACCCAGACCAGACCTCTGGGTTGTTAATCATGAACATCCCACAAAGAGAGCCCATGATTTGTGACTTGTTTGTGAATTTTGGGTTGCTTAAACCATGTGCAGAATCTTGGATCTTTCATGGGTTTTGCAAGGCAACAGAGACAGAACCCTAAATCCCCCAGCTTCTTGACATACCAACATCATAATTCTCCAAAGACAATTGGAATAGAAGGAGGAAGTAGACAAAGGATGAAGTAACTGACAGTGTGATCATCTGCTTAAACAAACACTGGTTAGGACAACAAACCATAGTTCAAGTGATTCATGAAGTGGTGTTATGGTAGAAAGCATATATGAAAAATGGGAGCAAGGAGAGCTAGAAGATGTAGTTTGATTTTTGCCTGGAGGATTTCTGGATTAACTTCTGGATGTTGAGAAATTAGGTATGTACTAGTGTAAATCTAGCACCACTTGCCTCTCTACTTCTTTATATGTTCCTGTAATATTATTATTACTACATTATATCCCACCTTTATTTCCTCTTGTGGCACAGACATTGAGCTAACTAGCCTGTAATTTCCTGGATCCTCATGGATCCCTTTCCAAAAAAATAGCATTATCTTTACCATTCTCCAGGCTTCTGGTACAGAGGCTGATCCTGAGAGACAATGTGGTGTGGTGGTTAGAGTGCTGGACTGGGGACCTGGGAGAACTGAGCTCTTGTCCCCTCTCAGGAAGACCACTTGAATTTTTGCACTTGATGCAACCTTTCCCACTGTACATACAATATACATATTATCTGTGCTTCTTTTACTGTGGTTTTGTGGAATCTCCAACCATTTGGAAGAAGTTTTAGCTTTTTCTTGTCTCCTCTGTTCAACTTCCCTTTTTACTAGTTCCTTCATTTTAGAGAAGCTTCCTCTTTTTAAGTCAAATGTGGCAATGTTGGACCTCTTGGAACCAATCTTGAGGAATGTATAAAATAAAGGATTTGTTTGTTCCATACTTTTATCACATCAGTTGTTTCGATGCTATAGAATAGGTATCAGTTTCCCAGTAAAATGGAAATGTAAAAATTTATTCTTTAAAAAATAATTTTATTTTATCCTCCTCTTCCTGGAGATGCTAAAGACTCTAACACCTTGATACAAAGCACATGCTCTATATCATGGGTCCTCAAATTACGGCCCACGGGCCGAATCCAGCCTGCCATGCCCATTTATCCAGCCCGCCTCAGAGGTTTTGAACTCCCCACACCCACCACCGCCTGCCTCGCGGCAGCACCCAAAACCTCAGAGAACTCCAAATGAGCAAGCCACCGTCTCACTGCGCGCACGCCCACCGCCACCTCATGCACACCCACTGCCACCTGGCCATGTGCACGCGAACACCCCCGACTCACCAGTCCACATCCGCCACCACCACCTTTTAATTGGCACCCTGTTGAAAAAGTTTGAGGATCCCTGCTCTATATCATACGTAGGAAATTATCCCTAAGTTAGTTAAATTGAACTTCAGAATTACACTTAAGTGAGCCAGCTTGGCCAACAAGTGAGCTTTGGCTATGGGTGGTATAGAAATGAATTATTACTATTATTACTACTGCTGCTGCTACTATGGTTCCTCTTCCCAGTTCCCCCAGTGTAGTCATTGGGAATCTGCCAGAAGTTTACATAGTTTATATACTTATTCTGTTGCTTTTCTCCTTGTACTGAAAAAAGAGATTAATGACCAAGCCAGAAAATCCTGCAGTTATTTAAACTGTAGCTCTAACTGATCTCCAGGGTCAGGGAACCTCCCACTTTCCCTGTCTTTGTACATGTACCCTCTACAGTGAGCAAAATGAAGAAGAGCTGTGCTGAAGAACAAGCAAGCCTTGAGAACTATCAAAGGGAGGGTAATCCTGATATGAAAGTCTTAGAATATATAGTGTAGTCACAAGGAGGAGGATGCCTTTTAAGATGGCAGAATGGGATGAGTTAAATAAATCAGTCTACTGGTGGTCCATATCACATCTGCATGTGTTCATCCATACATATGTTCTATCCTGCTTGTCCTGGTCCTGCCTCCAAAAATAAAATAAAATATCCACATGAAAAGTAACGTTTAAGTACAGTGTGTTCTGTCACAATACACACTTTGATGCATTGCATTGAATCATTCAGGTGATATGGACTTTAACCCGCAAGGTTACTTCATAATGAAATTTACAAAAAGCAGTCTTAATGTGGAATAGTTTCTCCTCATTTCCTCACCACCAAGTAACCACAATCAGCTTCTGTGCGTCCAGGAATAAAGAAACCTCTCTCTGTGAAGTGTATGTATTTATTTCTGTACCTGCCCAATAGGTGAAGCTCTGTTGGTGGTGTACAATAAATATAATAAATTATAAAATACAAATAACAGTAAAACCCCCTCATAAAGGCTTTGTGCCAGTAGAAGATTCTGCTACTGATATTGAACTATCATTTCGCCTTACTAGACCTCTTCTGATGAAGCTTCTGGTTGTGAACTGAAATCTACTGTAAAGTGTGTTGGGAACAAAACAGAAGCTAAATTTCCTGCCATTAACAAAGCATCTGTTAAGCAAAAGCAAAAACCAGCATTCGGCAGGAAATCAGAAAAAAATGGATTTTGCCCCAAAAAAGATACTCCAGGTGAGTATAGGAGAATTAATTATTATCAATTATTCAGTAATTCACAAGGTTGAAACTAGTAATTTTTGCATGTTCGGGGGTCCTAATGGATCCTGCAATTTCAGGTAACAGTTCCTAGGTGAGACTGGAATTCAAAAAGAGCCAGAAGATCCATCATGGCAGACAAACTTGGTTGACCAAGGGAAGTGGTCACAATCATAGTGCAGTAGTAGGGCTGGAGTAGGCATAACAGCAAGCAGAAAGGAAGCTAAAGCAAAAAATCTTAGCTCCAAACTGTTGTAAGCTGTGTAACATCACCCCAGCAATGTATGTTGTACTGATGGGGGGAGGGGGGACCTCTTTCAGCCCATTAGCCAAATTCACAGAGATTTTGGGGACCACATTACCATGATGGGCAGAATCAAAGACAAAGGTAGTGGAGGTGAAGGTGAAAAGAGTGGGTCCCAAAACAACAGCATATGAGTGTGGACCAAGAGTCTAATGAATGTTTTCCTGATCTATTGTGAATTTCTGCCCTAAACTGGTTAGCCAAAACTTTGCATAAAACAGTCCTGAAGCCAGTGCAACTGTTCCAATAAGAGTATTGTTTACTGTTCATAACAGTCACATCCAACTAGCTGTACTCTGGGTCAGAATAGAGTTTCCAAACACTTCTCAAAAACATTCCTTGATAGACTGCTTTGCAGTATTCCAATCTAGATGAAATTAGGCTGTGTGTTATCGTAACTAGATCTCAGCTTTCCATGTAACAAATGCAGTGCCTCAGTAACCTAAATTAGGGTAAAATCACTAGTGGCCTCATTGACTACTTGAATATCCAGGAACAAAAACAGGAGACCACTCTGTATGATCAAACAACTATGATAGATAATTTGATCATGTCTATGTTGGCTGTGTGTATCTGGCACCATTAGTCTAATTGCCACCCTTGTGTTGTTTGAATCTTGGCATTATGACTTGTTGGGGGTGACATAATTCTCAAATTACCCAGCAGTAAGCTATGGGTTATTTGAGTGTTGTTTCCCCTTCCAACAAGCCATGCTGCCCAGGTTTAGATGACATAGTCATGGCCAAGATGACATGGATTAATGGCACCCAATTTGTTTAGATTGTGCAAATCTGGTCAAATACAGCATTTTCAAGGGCAATGGAATGGCAGGTTGATTTTCTAGCCCTGGATCTCCATTTTTTTTCCTAACCAAGAATGCCTCTATCTTACCTGAATTAAGATGCATGTTACCAAAAATGAAACAAAGCAATTTTAGAAATATAGATTTATTCTGGAATATTTGTGAGCGATACAAAATTCTTTTTTGTATCTTGGTCAAATTCTTCCAGCATAGTTCTTTGCTTTCCATTTTATACCTATGCTAGGGGAAGACTCATTTCTAGAATTAAAAAATAATTATTTTAGCAATGCTTACAAATTCTAAGTTAGGGTAATGCATTAACTTTTGTGTCACACAAGCTGCAAATATGTTCTACAGTCATGCAGTTACCTCACAACTTAGCCTCCACAAGCTAACATTTCCTCAAATCCATGGTTCCTAAAATCAGCTCTTCTGTAAAACAATGTTTAAAAGCTTTTCAGAAGCCAATTTTATCAAGGAGACAGCGAATGAACCAAAGAAGTTTGTTGGAAACCACAGACTCTGAAAATATGAGAAGAGGGAGAAAAACGCCAGTGCTGCATGGAATAGCAAGGAATACAAAAGGCTCTGGTGAGAACCTCTTTTTCAAATTGCATGCCTAGTTAGAGGTGACAGCCTAATTTCAGAGTTTCATCTGCAATCAGTTGTATATACAGAGTTCTTCTATGATTGGGGTTTACTTGCCCACCAGAGTAGAGAGGGACAGTGATAGGAGTCAAAACATCAGTTGCAGCCTTTCCCTCAATTAGGCAGGTCTAGTAGGTCCAATGATAAAAGGACATCTTTTGTGGACAAGGCAAGATTCCATGCATACAGTATTCACCATATTTGTATCAAGTCCATTCTTGCAGTGAGGTTTAGATTGTGCTTACCACCTTGACCACAAATTTCGAAAAGTTATCATGACACAGAAAACTAAGTCTCTGAAAATAAATTCTTCATTAGCTTGTTTATCTTTAATAGTCTTCAAAACACCTCATAATTGTTGACAAGGGATATTTCTATGCGGTCGGGCTAGTTATTGTTTACAATAACAGATTGATTTTGTTTATTTTGTTAAGTACCTTCTACATTCCCCTCACTGTTGTGTTCCTGCTGTTTCCTAGATTTCTCAAAATAATATATTGTTCCTCAGGAAAAGTGCCCCCTCCACTCCCAAAACTGAGACAGGATTCTATTATTTATTACATGCATTTATACCCTGTCCTATCGCTTCAAGTGCTCAGGATGGCTTACAAAATATATAAAAATATAATATAAAACTACTATAAAAACATTAATTATTAAAACAATATAAAACATCAGTATAAAATGCAACTGTGAAAAAAGGGGAAGAAATAAAATCCTAAAACATCTAAAACCATTAATTGTTAAAATAATGATCAAATAAAAAGGTCTTTACCTAGCACTGGAAAGAATATAGTGCTGGCACCAGGCAGACCTCTCTAGACAGCAGATTCCATAGTGTGAGCGCCACTGTGGAGAAGGCCCTCCTCTGGGTAGACACCCTCTGTACTTCCTTCAAAGAGGGTTCCCGGGGCTTATAGGGGAGGAGACGTTCCTTTAGGTTGTCTGGACCTAAACTGTTCAGGGCTTTATAGGTTAATACCAGCACCTTGAATTGGGCCCGAACTTCAATTGGGAGCCAGTGTAGCTGATAAAGGACCGGCGTTATGTAAGAATAACGACTGGTCCCCGTCAGCAACCTGGCAGCTCTATTTTATACCAATTGAAGTATCTGGACTGTTTTCAAGGGCAGCCCCACATAGAGCACATCACAATAATCCAACCAGGAAGTTACCAGGGCATGAATCACTGCTCCTCACCACGACTGTCACCTGGGTTAGGCCACTGTTAGGAAGAAAGATGGAGAAGCAGGAAAACTGCAAGTCAGAGACACAAGATAAGATACCATGCAACACAGATTACCATGCAGCATGGTGTAGAGTTCAGCCATTGAAATGAATATGGTTCAAGTTAGCTATAACTCAATAAAATAATGTAGGCAACACAAAATAAAGCACAGCAGCAAGGAGCCACGTATAATCATTGTAAATGTTTTTCCATTTTTTAATATTCTGCCAAATTCTTTTTCATATTAACAGTGCAATATTTTTTCTGTATGGTTTATTTCTTAACGTTCAAATTTATGAAGCAAGAAGGGAAGGTTAAATTATTGTTCAAGTGTATTTTGATGTAACAACTAAGCATGGCCTCTAGTGAACAAAATAGAATATGCACAGGAAACTGATGCTGTTGGGGCACATGCTAGAAGCCATTTATAGACTGTGTACATATTTTAATGTCACAGTACCCTTATTAAATAAAAGATGGGCAACTTAATCTTATAATCTCTGGACAGCAATAGAATTATTCAGAGATATAGCTATGAGGTCAGAAAAGTACATCACCGTTTTTTCTGGCAAGGGATACTCCTGTGTTCTCAACTTAGCAACAAGTTAAACATTGGTGTGGTTTGCATACCCTGCAGTAATATGAGTATCCAGCCTATTAAAAAACAGGCATTTTTCAGTGATTTATGCAGTATTATATAGAGAATCCATTGGCCATAATACATATTAACTTTTTCTGTCCCATCATGGCCTTCGGTCCGTGATTTACAGGAACTTAAAGTCTCTCTGAAGCATGACTGGCATTGCAGCAAATGAAGTGTCTATGTCTCTGTGTTGTAAACATTTATGTTGCGGGGTAAATATTTTTCCTGCACAACACCCAGTCTAGTTTTAGTAATTGGCTTTTCCACGTTGGTGTATGAAGGTGTGATTATGTATGTAGATTGGTTGTGGATCCAGGAAATATATTGTTCATTGATGCTTCCTCCATCAGTGCACTGAATCATTAATACCAAATAAATGTTTTAAACATTGGCAGTAGGAAAATACATTCTGAAAGCAGTTTTTGTTCTCAATACAGACCCACAAGATGTCACAGGACAAAGAAGTGGTCCTGCTGTCAAGAATAAGAAGAAATATCAAGAAAGAAAGAACCTTGTCCAATCCTCTAAATTAAGCATAGATAGAAAAATCCTCAACAATGAAATAACAAAAGGCAATGTTCTAACCTCAGCTGAACAGTCCCCAACTAATCCAGTGAATCCTGCAGTTCAGGATGCTAATGGCCCTTCTGTATCAAGTGAGTTGAACAGTTCAAACCTTCCACCCATTAAGAATACTCTTACAAGGCCCAAAAATGATGATTTGTGTACATTGTTGTATTCAAATTTGGATAGTTCCACTGGAGAAAATGAAGATGTCAAAGATGTTAACTGCTTTGATGAAGAGCTTTCTGTTGATCCCAGTAAGCCGCCTCTTCTTGATCAAAATAACAGGATGCCTGGAATGTCTTTAGCTCAAGTGGAGCAGCAGAACTGTGAAGTGGGAATTGGGAGTGATGGAAGAAGGAATGAACCTTCCCGTAGATTGCTATGGCAGTATAATATAGCAGGGGACCCAACTGCTGAACAACCTTTCTCAGGGCAAAGAAAGCCAAGGGACCAAAGGAAGCCTTACGCTCTTGAAGAAAGCCTTTTGGAAGAGGCTCATAAAAATGAAGGTGAAAATCTGACATTTAGTGCAAGAAGCCCACATACTGAAAGCAGGCCAGGAAGTGCAACAGCTGATGAGGCTGCTCATAATTTACGTTCCACTGAAGACTGGGCAGGGAGCAAGGTCTGTGACAGAGAAAGACAGTGTTTTGAGAACAATCAAAGATGTTATGCTGGACTTGTGAGTTCAGCCAGGGCAACGGTTCAGAGGCCATCTGTGCATTCTCCATTTAATATACCAAACTCCTTAATACAACCTGCAAACAGAACTGAGGCTGCAAGCAGTGATGCAGTTGCTGCAGCTTCTGTGCAAGTCACAGAACTTAATGGAAGCCGAAGGTTCACTGCTCGCAGACAGCTATCTCCTATAAGAATCAGGGATTCTTTTTCAGCTACTCAGATTTGTCAGTCCTCATCACCCACAATCAGCACTTTTGAAGATAGCAGCTTTCTTGAGGATAGTATAAGCAATGGTCCTAGCAGCATATCTCCAAGCACCACTTCTCATGATGAAGACAACTTTCTGAATTCCCACAGCTCTTCATCTTCTACAGAGTCTTCTCACCCATCTCTTTTCCAGGCAAATTTCACAGCACACCTTCACATGACTGGTCCTCTGCCTGATCAAGTACCAATTTTCCTGACAGTATCTGATTTACGAAATCAGAATGACTTTGTGAGCAGTACAACTGCTTGCAGTTCACTAAATGCAAAAGAGATTAATAAGCCTGAGATAGACCCTGAGAAACTGAAAAAATTGCAAGAGAGGTAAGTACTAGAAGTCACCATAAATGTACTTTGCCCTATCTAAAGCCATTAGGAGGCAGTCTCAGATTTGTAGTTTTTAATGTCAAACTCTGGAAACACTACAATTTTGTATGATGCAGGGAGCTGGCATTCTCTGCTAGCAGATCTTCCAGTTCATATCTACCACTATTCATACAGGATGATCTCTGTAGGCTAGTTCTATTTAGAGGAACATTGCCTATGCTAAATTTCTTTAATAAGATCCTAACTGTACATGACATAAAAGTTCTGTAATTGGAATTCCCAACATATTTTATTGTTGTTATGTGCCATAAAGTTATCTCTGACTTGTGGTATGGTGTTCCTATGACAAATGCCCTGTAAATGAATGAAGCAAGAAATTTTGTAGTTCAACAGTGTAGTAGTTGGTGTAGGGGCATGTCATGTCCTCTTAGGGCAGCTCGTCCACCTTTGGTCCCCACTTGTCACTCATCTCTCACCTGTGGCTCCCAGTAGCTGTAGCATGTGCAGCTGCCACACCCCAGGCAACAGCTTCAACAGGCTGGCCAAACCAGGTTGAGGGTAGCCATTGGGTCAAGACCTTTGGTAAGATAGAGATTTGTCTGTCCCAAGCATGTGAAGACAGACTCCGGTGGATTGAGCTGATGAGACCTACTAGAATAGGACCAACGGTCATGAAGGTGGTTTCTGCAAGCATTGTGGTACGCTAAGAGCATGGCAAGACACGAAGACGCCCTGGTCAACCACTGCGCCCAGCCCATCGCCAACCATCTCTTGTCCTGCCACTGGAGCAAGATGGATTCTGGGAAGAGAGAGTGAGGCTGACTTTGCGCACCTCTCCCTCACTTTAATCCAATCCACGCGCAAGTCCTGACATTCTCAGCTCTAGTAAACCTCAAAGTCCTGTGCCAATGGGCAAGTAACGAAGCAGCAGGTGTGAATACACTGGGAGCTGTGGCCACGGACCTGCACACAGGCGGCTCAGGTCTAATGATCATCTTGCTGACCAAAGCAACAACTGGATTCGGCGTCTACCTGAGTGACTGAGCAGCCCTCTTTAGGACCGCACTGCTCACCTCTGTAGCAAGAGGAAAGGGCTAGAAAAGGTGCCCTAAACATTGTTTGCTTCACAGAACCCTGGCCAGCTTACCACGGCTGGAGGGGATCCCATCTCATGCGGTCGAACAACAAAACTTCAAACAAAACGCAAACGCAAGGTAACACCACTGAATATTGGCAAATGGAATGTACGCACGCTTCAAGACAACTCCTCAGCAGATCAACCAGAAAGAAGAATAGCCCTGGTCGCCAGAGAGCTCGCAAGATTTAACATCGATATTGCGGCCTTGTGTGAAACTCACCTAGTCAACGAAGGTCAACTCACAGAAACAGGAGGTGGTTACACATTCTTCTGGTGTGGACATAGCAGTGACGAACGTCGTGAATCTGGAGTTGGCTTTGCAGTTAAGAATCATCTTGTCCCCATACTTGCCAGTCTTCCCAAGAGCGTGAACGACCAACTCATGGCAATGCATCTCCCACTACTGAGAGGAAAGCAAGCCACATTATTGATGGAGGATGGGTGGTTCAGTACGGATTGGAAGTGCTCAGCCCAACGCTATTGAATCAGTGTCTTCTCAGTAATGAGAGTTGCACCATCTGAGTCTAGTAGAGGGAAGCTCCCTGAGGGCTGAGGTCCGTACAAGGATCTGAGGGCTTCGTAGAACTGTTTGGCATCATTTCTTTCAGCAAACTTCTGGATTTCATCTGCTTTGGCACTCAACCAGGAGTCCTGCATCTTGCGAAGCTTTCTCGGTACAGTCCTGCGAGCATTGTTGAAGGCATTTTTCTTAGCTGTTGACAACAGGTTGTTCTGATGCGCATGGTGAAGGCAGTGCTTTTCAGCAAGTAAGGCCTTGATCTCTGGATCAGTTTACATACCTTGGCAGCACCCTTTCCCATGCAGTGACAATTGACATTGAGGTCAACTGCAGAATCGCCAAGTCAAGCTCTGCATTCGGCAGACTGCTGACCAAAGTGTGGGACCGCTGTGGAATAAGCCTTGCTACAAAGCTTAAAGTCTACTGAGCAGTAGTGCTAACTACCCTGATGTATGCCAGTGAGACTTGGACAGTATACAGGAGGCACGCTAGGCAACTGAACCACTTCCACATGACTTGCCTTCGCAGACGTTTGAGGATCCAGTGGCAGGACAAGGTGCCAGACACAGAAGTCCTCTCCAGAGCAGGCCTGCCATCAGTTCACACCCTGCTGATGAAAGTCCAGACACGCTGGCCAGGTCATGTTGCAAGTATGCCAGACCACTGCATCCCCAAACAGCTCTTCTATGGTGAGCTGTCTCAAGGAAAGCGATCGCACAGGGGACAAAAGAAGCAAAACAAAGACATGCTGAAAGCCTCTCTCAAGTCCCTGGTTATCAACACCACCTCCTGGGAGACACTGGCACAAGATCATACACATAGATATCGCATGGCCGATATAGAAGAGACTGTGTAATTGGAAGGAGAACATGGAACATCTGCCAAAAAGACCAGAAGCAGATTGTAGTAGTGACCATGAACTCTTACTATAAAAAATAATAGTAACACTGAAAAAGATCACCGCAATAATATTGCTGAGGAACTTAAGATCCACATAAAGTACAGATTCACATTGCTGAACTCAGTTCACCATGAACCAGAAGAACTGTGGACTGAAACTAGACACATTATTAGGGAAGAATGCAAAAGCACAATTCCTGTGGTAAAAAGAAAGAAAAAGGCTAGATGGATGACAGAAGAATTAAAGCAAGAAGCAAAAGCAATCCTATGAGGAAGACCCTGCAATATTCAGAAGTGAAGTGAAAGCTATTCTGAAAGCACTTGGAAGGAGTAAAACATGCAGAATAAATTCTGTACCAGCAGAACTGTTCCAAGCTGCAAAGACTGAATTGATCCAAATCCTAAAAAGAATATGCCAACAAATATGGAAAACAAAACAATGGCTCACATTCTATATACATTGCAGTCCCTAAGAAATGAGATGTAAAAGAGTGCAGCCACCATAAGACCATCGCACTAATTTCCCATGCAAGCAAAGTGATGTTCAGGGTGTTGCAACAAAGAATACTACCCTATATGGAGTGGGAAATGCCCGCCATTCAAACTGGATTCTGAAGAAGAAGAGGTGCTCAAGATCATATTGCAAATAGATGTTGGATACTGGAGTGCATCAAAGAATTTCAGAAAAAGATAAGTCCATGCTTTATAGACTACAGCAAATCCTTTGACTGTGTGGATCACAAGAAGCTATGGATGGTCCTGGAAGAAATAAGTGTACCTCTGCACTTAATTGCCCCGTGTTATGTCAAAGAAGCTACAGTTAGGACCCAACATGGAGAAACAGAATGGTTTCCCATAGGCAAAGGTGTTAGACAAGGATGTGTTTTCTCTCCCTGTCTGCTCCATGTGAACACAGAACCTATAAAGAAAGCTAGATTAGGATCAGAGAAAGGAGTGAAAATTGGCCAAAGATACATAAATAGTTTAAGATGAGCAGATGATACTGTGTTACTAGCAGAAAGCTACAAAAGATTGAAAAGCCTCCTGAGGAGAGCAAAAAAGAAAGTGCAAGTGCAGGGATGCAGCTGAACATTAAGAAAACAAAAATCAGGATTACAGAAGAAAGTGGACAGGAAGAAAACTGATGTGTTCAAAGCATGGTGCTGGAGGAGAACTTCGAGAATACCCCGGACCAACAAAAAGACAAAATATGTGGGTCCTAGATCAAATCAAGCCAGAGGTTTCCCTGGAAGCACAAATGACAAAACTGAAACTCTTGTACTTTGGGCACATCATGAGAGGGGAAGACTCACTAGAAAAGACAATCATGTCAGGGAAGGTTGAAGACAGAAGAACTATTACTATGAGATTATCAATTCCAGAAAGGATGTCACCGCTCAAAATTTACAAGAGCTAAGCAGGGCTGTCAAGGAGGGCATTAGTCACCCTAACTTGAAGATGACTTGATGGTACAAATAACATTCCTATCAGGTTATCTTGCCATCTACATTGGAATAAGCCACAAACAGAAGGAATAGACTGTTCATCATAGAACTGTCATTAACGGAATTCATGTTTTTAAGAACATGTTGTGATAGTAGTAGGAATCTGAGGAAAGGGGTAAAGCAGGGAATCTGGATGTTTAGGACAATACAGGTAGGCATAGACAGAGGATATTCCATATATCTGCATTCCATATATCTGAAATGCAGACTGTAAACAATAAGAATAATTGGACTCTCTAATCTGCCTTTCCTTAATTGGCAGGAGTCTGACTAGCAGAAAATATCCTCACCTTTGCCAGTTCCATATGGCTGTTGAACCAAATAAATGCCTAACTAATGGAATTACTCAGCCAGTATTGAAATAGAAAGCAGAAGTAATATTTTTTTTCTTGGTCTCTGCACACAGAGACTCTGCCCCTGCGTGGAGCCACACTTCAGGAAAATTTCATAGTTGAGACATTTTGGTGGAACCCCACTGCTTGTTTACCATTAGTGGGTTCCCACCTATTCCCCCAGTTCCACTTCAACTACCATTGTGGTTGGCTTTTCAGGAACATTGTCTTTTATCAGTGCAGAATGTATCCCCTTAGCTGAGACATATTTTCTATCATTATTTGTGTCTTGTTATGTAGAATATTCTTTACCTCTTCTTTTATCTTAGTGATCTCTGATTGCTGTTCTACCTCCTTGGTATATGGCCTCAAGGGTGCCCTTTTGGAAGTGTTCACAGCAGCAGTAAGTTTCCTTCTACAAATGGTCACTCCTTCTTACACTGCTTCACAGAGGGTCATCTCATAGACTCTTGTCATACTGTCAGGCCCTCACTGTCCACACTGAAGGCTCCTTTTTTTAGAAATATTGCTTCACCAAGAATGGTCATGCCTTCAGCCACACCTGCAATGACCAGATCATTGTCTTCTCCGTCTTCTCCTGTCTCATCTCTGACCATGGGCTGAGTAGATCAACAGCAAAGAAAATATCAAACCCAGCACATTGGACCACCTCACTGGACCAGGCCAAGAAGAAAAACGACTCTATATCCCTGCCAACCCTCCACTGCTGCCACTGTATACACTGGTATACAATGCAGGGCATACCTCCATTCAGGAACATGTTCTTCAGCAGCATAGGCCATCTAGACATCCATTATGTTGACCAAGCACTCCCTCTGATTCTTGTATTTTTTGGTACCCTATTACTGTTACTGTTGTTATTCCATTGCATTTATATTCTGCCACTTTTCCTCTTGTGAGGAACCCAAGGTACCTTACATGGCTTCATTTTATCCTTGCAATAATCCTGTGAGGTTGGCTGGGCTGAGAGTGACTGAAGTCAGTCACACGTGCTCTGTTGTCATGTAGGGATTTGGCTCAGCATGACTCTTGTCATTTCCATCATTTCTATTGGAGACTTTCCATCAGAGCTATCACTCCTCCTCACCCACTCACATGCCTTCTGTCCCAGCTCAAGCTGCAGGTCAGTTAGACAACTGAACCTGAGTTGCTATACTTCAGCGGTGATGATGCCAGTTGGATTCATCATCAGACTCATTGGTGGCCCATCAGTGCCCATTCATGATGATATTATTGGGACAAAGTAGTCTGTTTCACCTCTGGAGAATACAGGCCACTGCACCCACCAAGTCTGTCATGCAGAATAGCCCTTTGGCCTTGCTATTTAGCAACCAGAACTGAGGATAGAGGACCCAATTTCAACTTACTCCTTTTGGCAATAAATACCACAGTGGCTATCCCATTTCTGCCTTTCCTACTCCTGACTTCAAAGATACAGGTACAAGAAAAGGAAGCAACTTTCCTTTTGATTCATTCAAAGCACAATTCCATTATTATTTAAACTTTCTAGAGTTATTTGTATAGGTTACACTCTGCTCCAGTAGCAACCATTACACCTGTCCCATTCACTGTATCCTACAGGTCAATCATTGTTTCAGAAAGGCCTAAACATTTCTCTCAATTTAGACACCATTTTGGTTTTTCATGTTCCAGTTGGAAATTGCTCTCTTCTCACATCCAGCAGTCAGTTTTCCCAGAGAAATCATTTGCTTCACACTGGTGCCTTTCTGTTGTTTTAAAGGCACTCATCAGCCACAAGCCCCTGGCTATGACAGACCTTCACTTGTGGTCCTAGAAAGTAGTCTTTTTGATTGCTAGTACATTACATTAGCACATCAGGCTAGTGAGCTTGCTGTATTTCAGGTTAATTCTCCTCATCTTATCTTTTGTAGGAACAATGTTGTACTTTGATTGGAGATTTCCTTCCTGCCTAAAGTAGTAACAGATTTCCATATTAATCACGATACTGTCTGTCTCTCCCTCCCTCCCTGTACCTCACCAGTGAAAGCTACCATGCATATCCTTGATTTTAGAATGGCATTCTCTTTTTATAAAGGAAAACAGAGCCATTCACTTTTTCCTCTGCTTTGAAGGAAAAAAATTGTGACTATCAGTGTCCTTACAACAGCTGTCATCTTGGGTGTTGCAAATTACACTACTATCCTTCTGGTTTGCAGGACTTGAACTAGACTTCCCAATTTTAGCTCACTTCACCTGCTCAATAGCTATGCCAATTGCCTTTACTCAAGGAGTCTCAGTCACTAAATTATGTTGAACAGCCACCTGGTCCAAGTCATGAACATTTATAAAATGTTACCACTTAGACATTAGAGCCAGAACAATGTTTTGATTGAGCAAACCTTTCCTCTATTCTCTGATAGTGAGATCAAACCATCCTCAGGATGTGAATTACTCTTCTGTGTGATGAACAGAGACACAAAGAAGAAAAACAGGTTGCTTTCCTGTAACTGTAGTTCAGGTGATCATCCAGGCATTGACACAATGCATTTACCCACTGGTATGGGTTTTTTGGTACCAGCTTTATTACCAGCACTTCTCTGTTCTGAGGCCACAGTGTTAGTTTCAGAGGAACTGCTGGAATAGGTGCTTAAATAACATAAATGGTGAAAAAGGAGTAGAGGTTTCTGCCAAACCTTCTCAGCTATGGATGTTTCCCAAATCAAGGTTCCACACAGGTGCAGAGCCCATATGTGTGAATGCACAGTTAAGCACTTGAAGAACTGTTTTTCCAGATAATTAACCTGAGTGTTGGATTTTTTTCAGCACCTGCATTTTACCTGGTATAAGCACATATTTCTAAATGTAATTGCCCCAGACCATTGACATATGTTTAAATTGTGGATGTTTCTGAAAATCTCTTATATCTCTAGTCTCCTGGCAGAAGACTCAGAAGAGGAAGGAGATCAGTGTCGAATATGTCAGATTCCTGGTGGATCTGTAGCCAATCCCCTGCTAGAACCATGTGGGTGTGGTGGGACTCTTCGGTTTGTTCATCAGGAATGTTTAAAGACTTGGTTAAAGGCCAAAATAAAATCAGGTATGTTTGCCAGTTCAAGCAAAGAAGGAAAATCAAAATATAATTAATTTGAGAAATCCTGTCATGATACAGAATGGCCCAGCATACAGTTGGTCCTTCCAGATGCCATTATGGTACCAACATACTTCCCTAGCCATGAAATTGTCTTCCACTCATAACCCACCTCTGTTTTTCATATGGAAAATCAATACTATCCATCTGGAAGTATCCTGCATGTACTGACATCATTGGGATCAAAGATAGCTTTTATAAACCTTTAGGAGTTGCACTGAAGCCTTCCCACTTAGGTAACCATCAGAAAGAACTATGAATGATTCTGTCTCAAACAGTGTATCCTAGAAAATACTATGTAGTCCTAAACAGTAGGTGTATGATAGATTCTACCAGCTGGTTGGCCCAGCTTCCATAGTTCTTCAACAGCCACAAAATGGCATCTAGCAGCAACTAGGGGTCATGGATGCCAAGACAGTAGTGAGTCATTACCTCAAAGGGGGTTGGCAGAAGGTTTTCCTGTTTATACTCTTTGATACTTTATTTTTTATCCTGCAAAGTTAATAAAAATGTTGCTTCCCTTTGTTATCCCCTCTACTTCTCAAAGGTTGCAGTGGTAGTGCAAGCAGATTAGAGAAGTGGCAACTCACAGTCTGTCCAGAGATTTGGTTAAAATAATGCTTTTGACAGGGATGGGACAACTATATCATATCTGTCTTCAGGAGTACTCATCCACACAAATGGTCCAGCCTTACATAGAAAATATGTATGGTTGTTTCCTGTCCCCTGGCCTGTTTGCTGTAGAACTATTAGCCCACATGTTCTGAACAAATGTTAGGATCAAAGGATTTTACACCCATGGTAAAGAAGATCTTATAAATGTATAAGCTCATGACATTTTCCTATTTCTGTTGAATCCAGGGAAGGGGCATTAAAGGAAATTCTGGCTAAATTCCAGAATTAATCTTCAAATCAGCTATGATAAGTTGATACTCTGTCTGAATACCCCTGAACATCCACTGTGTCCTTCAGAGTGTCTCTGCAAAAGTTTATTATATCTTAGCAATTTTCCATTATATGAGGTTACAACTCTACTAACGCTCAAAAGATTAATATTTCCCTTTACATCCTTTATATTTTCTCATGCGCATCTGTAAAGCATTGACAAGAACTTTAGATGTTCTAGAAGATACATATTTCTCAGCATTAGACAATATGAAACAAACCTTTAGAAAAGATGGCCTTTCCTTTAGTAATGGTAACAATGGATGAAATTATTGGGTTCTGAGGGTAATTATAAATAGAACAATCTAGAAGTACATGAACAATACCTTTCACTGATACAAAATTGCAAACACATACACTATCTTGATTAGAAGACCTTTATACCAGCCCCCTCAATTTACCAAAAGAACATTTAATCTTGCTCTACTAAAATTTTAGTATTTGGCAAATCTGCCAGGTAATTTGGTGAACAGATATATATGAAGAAATAAAGGAGGCATGAAAATTGTTAGTTTGGCAGGCCTTAATTCTAGCCTCCTGACATTGCATCTCAATATCTTTAAGTCTCTGGAGCAATACTGCTTTAATCCTATTAAATCCAAGAGCTGAAAGAAAGGAGATAGAGAATCTCAAGCTCATCATAGCTAGTTACAATTTTTCTTCCATGAGTTTGGACCCATTTCTTTAGATGGCTCCAGGTAATATTCTGAGACCTGCTTAAAAAGTGTTTTTAACCAGAATAGCAGGGCTAAGCTAATAACCTTTAAGTTATGCAGTCGAGATGCGAGCGCTTTCTAATAGATCTAAATTAGTTGTGGCCCATAACGGAGCTGCATATTACAATCTGGGCAAAACTCTTGTCTTATACAATTCAAGGGTGGGCTGCACCAAATCCCCCCCATTTTCATGTGATAAAACTATAATAATTTAATGTCCTACCAGCTAACAGGGTTCTTGACTATACCTGCAAAGACCTTGCATCTTCTGCTGGGAGACCAGAGTGTCTTTCAGGATTCAGCATTCAGGCAGCATTCATGTTTGAGTTAGTTGGATGCTTTAATTCCCAAAGACCTCTGTCAATGACTTAACAGGAGCTATAACCAAGTCATTCAAGGTATTAAGCAGGAGATCTGGCCTAGGAAGAATCATCATTGCAAGGGAGGCTAACCTGTTTCAAAATGACATTCTTATCATCCCCAAACTCTTTTGTTGTTGTGCGAAGCTCTTTCTGCACCACCTTCTAATCATATTGAAAAAAATGGCCAAAACTATTGGAGGTATTCCGTAACAATGGTAGAAGAAGGAAAATCACTAGGATGTTAATGTCTAAATAATTAAACAATTAATTGGTTTTATCCTTCTTTTTACTACTATTTTAGATGCAGTGTGCTGTGTGTTGTGTTATGGTTTTGTTCTTGGTTTTCTGTTCCCTGTAAGCCATCCAGAGACTTTTTAGTAATGGATGGCATAGAAAAAAATAAAGTAAAATAAAATAATAAGTATCTCTCATAGGGGGAATAGTCTATTCCTAGTTTCAAAGTATACTTATCAGCTTTTCGGATCTGCCAGGTTATCCCCACTGTACATAAATATATTTCCTCTCAATGACAGCCCCTCAAATCATACCACATAATGGCAGTCTTCCATTCCTGAAACTCACAACTGTTTTTCTTAAGAGAGTGGAGAAACCATTTTATGCTGTTTGGGTGGAGGCCTTCCAAGTGTTAGCTCATCCTCTTACCATTTCACCTCTTTTTGGACTATGCCCTGTTTTTTTTTTTTTTTTTGGGGGGGGGGGGAGGACAGACAAATATCTACAGTCTCATAATTGGTGAGGGTCTGTTTTGTCTCAAAGGCTTGTTTGCAAGAGGCAGACCAATTCTGATCGAGAGACTGAAACTTTCATTCCAACAGATAATTTCTTTTACTATAGCATTCACTGGTAAGAGGAAAGCTCTCCTATCACTTACACTTGTAGAGAAAGAAAGATACATTTTTTTTCTTTGTCATGGTCTCCGTGCATCACACATACATGCGTGATGTGCCTGTGCAGTGTCTGTTGCCAGGAAGATTTAAGAGCTTGAACGGTTTTTGGTGGGAACTCCGTTCCCTCCCCCTCCTCATAGTATAAATGGCCAGAGTGCCCACCCTCTCACCACTCTGCTTGCAACCACCGTTTGCCGTGCCTCGGGCCTTTTTTCATTTGTCTCCTTGTCTCTTTTTTCAATTGTTACTTCTATAAATCTTAAATTTCTTACTTCACTTTTCTGCCTCCTCTATCTAAACCCTAACCTGTTGTTTATTATTTTATTTATTTATTTAGAGTTTTTGTATGCTGTTCCATTGCTGATAGCCTTGGGATGGCTCACATAAATAAACATAATACAAATACAATTAAAACCCAGAAACATCCTGGCTGCACAATTAAAACTAATAGATATTATCTAGTATTGTTAAAATATTTTTTAAATAAAAAGGTCGTAGCTTGGCACCAAAAAACAAATAACGATGGCACCAGGTGGACCTCTCTGGGGAGTGCATTCCACAGATGGGGCACCACCGCAGAGAAAGCCCTCCTCCAGGTACATTGCCTCCTGATGACTCTCCCAGAGTGCTCCTGGAGGAGGGCCTCTGCTGGTGATCTCAAGGGGCGGGAGGGCAAATATGGAAGCAGGCGTTCCTTTAGGTATCTGGGTCCCAAGCCGTTAAGGGCTTTATAGGTGATTACCAATACCTTGAACTGAGCCCAGACTTCGATGGGAAGCCAGTGGAGCTGGTACAGGACTGGGGTTATATGAGAATAATGCCCAGTCCCTGTCAGCAACCTGGCTGCTCTGTTTTGCACCATCTGAAGTATCCGGACTGTCTTCAAAGGCAACCCCACGTAGAGCGCATTGCAGAAATCCAACTGCGTCACTGTTGCTAGGCAGTCGTCCTCCAGGTAGGGACACAGCTCATGGATTAGCCGAAGCTGAAAGAAAGCGCTCCTCGCCACTGCAGTCACTTGAGCTTCCAAAGACAGCTCCGGGTCGAGGAGTACTCCCAAGCTGCAGACCCTGTCCTTTAGAGGAAGTGCAACCCCATTCAGGACAAGGTCCAAGTCACCTACCCAGGAGCTCGAACCTCCCACCAACAGGACCTCTGTCTTGTCTGGATTGAGTTTCAGTTTATTGGCCCTCATCCAGCCCATTACCTCAGCCAGGCACTGGTTCAGTACAGCCACTGCCTCACCTGGATTGGTTGAAGAAGAGAGGTAGAGCTGGGTATCATCAGCATACTGATGATTCCACAGCCCACACCTCCTGATGACCTCTCCCAGCGGTTTCATGTAGATGTTAAACAGCAAGGGGGACAAAATGGATCCCTACGGAACTCCATGGCATAACTGCCATGGCGCAGAGCCATAGTCCCCCAGCACCACCTTCTGGAATCAGCCATTGAGATAGGAGCAGAACCACTGCAAAGCAGTGCCTCCTACTCCCAATCCCTCTAGCCTATCCAGAAGGATACCACGGTCGATGGTATCGAAATCCGCTGAGAGGTCCAGGAGAACCAACAGGGACACACTCCCCCGTCTCTCTCCCTGCACAGGTCATAATACAGGGCGTCCAAGGCAGATTCAGTACCATACCCGGGTCTGAAGCCCGACTGAAATGGATCCAGATAATCAGTCTCATCCAAGACAACTTGGAGTTGCCCTGCCACCACCCATTTCAACACCTTGCCCAAAAACGGGATGTTGGCCACTGGTCTATAATTGGCGGCCATCTCTGGATCCAGGGATGCCTTCTTTAGGACCGGCCTGACCACCACCTCCTTTAGAGGGGCAGGCACCCGGCCGTCCCTCAGAGAGGCATTGATGACCTCCAGGATCCAGGCACCAATCCCGTGTTTGGCTTTGGACAGTAGCCACGACGGGCAAGGGTCAAGTAAACAGGTGGTGGGACGTACTTGTCCAAGCACTTTGTCCACATCATCAGGCCGCAATAACTGAAACTCATTCA